TTAAAATTAGTATTTCATTTTTTAAAGACTTCTTTGTGATATTTTCGGAGTTCTCTTTCAATCTCTACTTTGTTGGTTGTAATGTATTCTTGTTTCTGGTTTGTAGTCTTTACTCTGTCTAAGATTATTCTGACTCTTTCTCTATCTAAGATTGAATTGATCATTTTTTGTTGATTGTCTTTAAAATTGTTGCATCTCTGTTCTAATGCTTTTTTAATCTCTTTCTTTGTTTTCTTACTTTCTTCATTTTGGCAAACTGTTTTGAGTATTTCAATTGTGTCCTGAATTTCTTTTTGAATTTCTGACCAAGGTATATTCTCTATACTATATTGTAGGCATAAGTTATCAATTTGAAGTTCAGGATAGTGTTTTTTGCTATATTCTTGGATCGCTATATTGAGAATCTATATGTCTTCATGTACTTTGGTCAGCTTTGCTTTTTTAAATAGTGTATTGAGTTTAATGACTCTTCTATATTTAATGAACTCAGGTCTCGGTCAGTAATCCTTTTCTTGATTTGGTCTTGTTTTTTTAATTGCCAATTTGAAGAAGGCTGCTGAAGTTATCTGGTTTTCAAAGCATTCCCATATTTGATTTATCTATAGTTTTGTTGATGTCTTGTTTAATTCATTTTCTAGTAGTAACATCAATTTTGTCTTGAATTTGTGATCTACGCTTTCCCAATACTTTTTTCATTGTTCTTCTATGGATCCTTTAATATCTATTACTTTGATGGTCTTGTTGGATTGATAATAGATCTTACTTCTCGAGAAGAGATTCTTATCTTGCAGTGTAACTATTAACATTGTATAATCACTTCCCGTCATGTCTAATATATTCTTATTTGCAAAGAAATTGTGTCATATTATAGAATATCCACAAATAATCGATTCTACTTTTACTTGTGGCATTTTTCCTAGTAGGTGATTTGTTTTTTCCTTCCCAAATTGCCTATATGTCAATAAAGTTTCTATCTTCAAGAAAAGTAAAAAGTGAAATTTCTGGTTTCCATGAGGGCTAAACATTGCCTTGGCTATATAGATATTCTATCTTCCATAGAATTATATGCTGCATTGAAGTCTCCCATTATGATTAGATGAAATCTTTTTTCTAGTTTTTCTTGAATTAGTTTCTTGACTTTATTCTGGCATTCGTGACTTTTTTTCTTGTCATTTGGTAGATACAGTATACCTGTACTATACAGGTTTTATTTTGTTTGGCCCAAAAGTTGGCTGCTATTATATATCTTTCACATTTTTTGATCAATACAATTTTCTTTTCTAGATCTTTTCTTATCAGCAGGCTGACTCCTGCTTCATATAGGATCTTATCATTTATACTGAAAAGTGTTTGTAGAAGAATTGATTCTTGAAGGCCCATTTGCCATTGATGGAGGTGAGTTTTGTTTCACTTAATCCTACTATTCCTAATCCTTGTTCTTCTATCTCTTCTAGTAGGTTTTGTTGTTTGTTATATCAGTTATATCTCTTATATTGTGTGAGTCTATTCTAATTACTCTACTTTCTGTGGAATCTGCACTATATGTTTTATCTATTTTTGTTTCTATTTTTTTGTCCTTGCCTTTGTTTAGAAATATTGTTTTCTGTTTCTTTATAAATGTTTCTAGCTCTTTCTGTCATTGTTACTTTATCTTTGTTATCTCTGTTCTTGTCCTCTGATTCTCTTTGTGAGTTGCGTTATTGAAAGGACAGAAGGATTCACTGCCTTCTGTAGAAGTTGTTTTAACTGATGCACCTTTCAGGAGCAATTTGCTTCCCTTCTACCTTTTTTCTTGAAGGAAGAATGGTTTTCTGTTTCTAATTTATATATTCTATCATTTAGTTTTTCCAGATTATCTAAAATCAATTGCAATGGTTCTTGCTGTACACTATTGTATTCGCTATTGATATTGCCATTGGAAATCTTTCTATGTCTGTTTCGCTGTCTTTTTTTTTGAAAGTTTAATGGTGTTCTGCTGCTTCCAGTAACTGGGTATCTTGAAACAAATCTTTTGGGAGTTTGATTCAATATGTTTCTCCCTTTTTCATTTTCTTCATTGGTAGATTTGTTTGAGCTAGTCGATTCCAGATAAGAAGTTGAATCATTGTTAATTTCTATGATTCTATTCTGGATTGCTTTTGATATCGTATTAATAGGTCTGTTCTATTCTTTTGTATCTGAATCTCTTAAGGAGGCTATATAATCTTTAGTATATTTTGCACTCCATGATAGTCATAGTCCTTAAAAAAAAACATGTTGTTTGCATGCTTTGTTTAGATCTTCTTTGCTTTCAAAACATACTACTGTAAAGTTACGTTTCTGCAATATATGGAAATCTCTTGAAGTGTAACAGGCTTTGGCTTTTATTCTTTCTACTGCTCTGACTACCAAGCTTGAGTATGTTTTGTTTGTTACAAAGAGTCTTGCAGAATAAGTATTTTATTGGATTATAATATCTGTAATATTTCTATCTAATAACTCTGTTTTGGTGAAGATTATTCTTACCATTTCTGTTCCTATTGGAGTCATCCAAATATTTTCTATGTTGGTATTAATGTGTCTGTGTTTTTTAATATATGCTCTTATTCTAATCTTGCCTTTTTGATAGCTATATATATTTAGATTTATAATTTCACTATATTTTTTAAGATGCTCTTTTAGTTGAAATCGGATTGTTTTTTGATCTATATCTATCAAACTGATATAAAAGATCTCTTTGCTTTCTTCCGGTATTAGCTTCTTGAAGAATTTCTTTCTATTATTTTATTGATTTGGCTTCTTAGGTTGTGTATCTTTTTCTTTTTCATTGGAATATAATTGTTAAATACTGAAGTTTTCTTCCTTTCAGTTTGTTTCTTCTATACATTTTAGAAGATATTCTTTTTCATTAACATAGAAGATTAACCATTCGTTACCATTCAGAAATTCTGTATGCAATAGATTTCTTTGTCCTGCTGGTAGTTTTAGCAGACCACTCATATATGTGAGTATTTTTTCTTTAGCATCATCTGGAATATTGGCCGTCATGGTATCAATTTTGTAAGTTCACTTTTTAGTTATGTAATAGGGATTGTTTGTTGTTGCTTATTGATGATTTCTGGTGGAGTAAGTATTGTGTTCTGCAATACTTGGATCCTGTATCTTCTCATAAATTTTCTACATTATTAGGTCTTCCTTCTCTTTTATACGAGTTGTTGTCTCAATTTCTACTGTTTGTTCATTTTCTAAGTTAGTGATAATTTTTATAGGTTGACAAACATTTTGCTTTCCTTTGTTACTATTTCCTTTCACTATATTAAAATATTTGTTTTCTAGAAATTGTTGTTGTAAATCTTCTTCTCTTCCATTACCTTGTTGCCAAAGGTATATAATATGTTGTATTAGAGTACGTTCTTTATAAAAGGTTGCTCTATCTACTCTTAATATTCTGACAATTATACTATCTATAACTATAAATATTTTTGGTGGGGTATGTATCTATGGTTGATACTTGTTTCTTCTTTCTGTTGAAGCAACTGCTATGTTACCCACATTTCACCTTTTTCATTGTGCTGTTGGGTTATATTAATTAAGATATCTAATATCTTGTCTTCTCTATTTTGTACTATTTGTAGGATTGCTTTAGCTCTATCCATATTTATAGTATTGATATTTTGGATATTGAATATGTATTCTATTTTTCACGATAGTTGTCAAATATTTTACGTGTTTTTTTTGTTTATATTTATCAATATTCTAAATTTAGACTACGGATAAACTTTTTTGTTATTATTGTTTATATGTATCTATTTAGGTAATGCAGAAAATCTTGTTGTGTTGTTTTGATTGTTTATTTTGTTTACGTTGATAATCCTATTCTAATTTGAGAGTTATTGACGTATTTGTATAGAAAGTCGATCAACTTGTTTGGACAACAAAGTGTAAGTGTATGGGCTTGTTTTTAGTCTTGCTTTTACGTGTTCATATTTGCGTGATGAAGTTTGGAATAGGTATGTTGTTTTGATGGATATATACATTAAGATTGTCTTGTCTTTAGAGAGTTTTGATATTCTTCTGGGCCTTGATGTGACTGGAACAACTTGATTTATCAAGCGGGCTTAGTTGCTTTTTGGATTTCTTATAGTATCAAGAAAAGTATTAACCTGCACTGGCCTGGCTATAAGCTATGTGAAGTTGATATTGGCTCCCTTTTTCTAACTGTGAATCAGTTTTCAACTTTCTTTTCTTTCTCCTAAAATTTTTAAGAAAAGAAAATAAAAGGTTAATGCAACAGTGTATACCTCTATCCTTGATGTTTCCCAATAGTTTGATATATATAGTTGAGTATGTTGTGAGTGTTTAATAGCTTGGTTTAAGGTTTTGTACTTCTTTCTTGTATGTTTAGACTGGTTCACTTTTTCCAAGAAATTTACTAAAAAAGGAGGATCAGTGGAAAGAGTTTTTTTTAATAACTTATATAATATAAATTTTATAAAAAATAATTCATTAATATAAAATATATTGATAGTAGAATATAAATAAACTTTTATTGATTATATATTTTAATAATATACTTGATAATTAAAAAAGTTTCACTAGTAATTTTTTTTTTTAACTAGATTTTAAGACAATAAATTCTTTGAATCAATATATTATAAAGATTTTAAATAAAAACTTATAATAAATAAAAAATTAAAGATAAATAGGTTGTATATTTTTAGATATTATTACTTACTTTTTTTTTTTTAATTTATTACTTTTTGTGCTTTCTTAATTTAAATATACAGTATAAATGCATACTGTATTTCCAAATTTATTTTTCCTGTATATTAGACATTATAGGTGTGGAGAACCCGTCGTAATAATATCAACATATGCACAACGGATTGGTGTACCAATCAAATCTACTCAATAATACAATCACCATTATGTAATATGTAAACAAACTAAAAACTTCAAAGCCTGCAATTCTTATCGCGGCGAAGAAAAAATGAATTTAATCGATTAAGCAGTTTATATAGCGTCTCGACTATTATCATCATCATCCATAACCATTGAACGCACAATCGAAGATCGCAACGAGCATCAGCCACAAATAGCGATGTATAGGTACTTGGAGCTGTCTCTTATTATTGCAATCTATTTGATGAACAGGATAGTGACGAGGTCTCATTTGAACGCACATTATGACAGTTTCGAGTTTGATCTTCACACACTGGTTCTTGACCAGTTGGCAGATATTTTAAGTACTGATCCAGATACCACAGACGAAGAAATAGTTCGTCTAATAAATCGATGTCCCCAGATTCCCGTAGACGGCGATGTCGGATTAGGAGTCATTGTAAATATCAGAGATTAATTTATTTATGCTAAAATTATAAAATTTTGGTTATTTATATTGTTCTCATTTTGCAATGTGCGCTTTAGAATAGGATATGTATTCAAAACATAACAGCATTGTCTCATTTTGCAGCCAATACAAGGAATAAAGCTTTCGTAGAAAAGATCCTTCCAATTCTCCTAAATTATTTAAAACTTCTGCCAAAATTTTCATTCGAAGATGATCTTACATGGAAGGGTATTGTAATCTCAGCAACTTGAGTAGAGTAATATTTTTTCATGTTGATAAAATGAAATCAAAGTAAACGTGCGTTTTTTTTTGCTTATCTTATTTTATCAACTTTATTTCAGATTACTCACTTCCCGATCGACTTTCTGAAGTTATTATAACGGAGTTGTTAAATATAGCAATAAAATCAAACCAATGCCGGGGAACGATTCTCGAAGAGGTAGTTTCATTCATTGGTGGATTTTCCGAATTATTGAAGTGCGGAAATGGTGTGTACAACAAACTTTTAATATCGAGACCATTTATTTAGCGTATTTCTATTATTTACCATTGTTTGTTGCTTTTTTATGTAAAAGTTATATACATTAGTACTATTGTTTTACCAATGTTGAATGGAATGTTTCGTGCGTTGCACAAGTCACAGATTTTGTGGAATTCCGATGATTTTGAATCTCTTGCTCATCATTTACAAGCACTTGTCAGCAATGATTGTATTCAAGAGGTTGATAGCACTTTAGAGAGTTTGACTCAATCTACAGATTCATCTTTGGCTTATGCTAGAAAATTTCTGTCGAGATATTCATTCCAAGGATGCCCATTGTCGAGTGGCGTAATCATGTATAGCTTTACAACTTTGATGAGAAATGTTCTGGTACGCGTCATGCTCTTTAACGGTAACATCGACGAGGGTGTTCCATTGATGCCATTTAAAGATTTATGGGATTCCTTAGTTAGTAGCAAGGCAAAAATGGTCGTTTCTGTTACGGAAAACGTGAGAAAATATTTACGGAAGATATACGTCGTGTCACTGCAATATTTCTCGGAGTTAACGAAGATTCTGGACAAGCTTATTTCCCAAGGGAATGACTGTCCCCCGGCGCTTTATGCAAGAGAGATCATGTCAACTTGTTTGGTACGCAAATGCCCGTGTTATTTAGTTCGTCCCGGAAGTTCAATTAATATTGATCAAAGTATTACTAACTGTTTTAATTTCAAAGGACCTCTCGGTCGTGGCAAGTGTGTTCCTTCATGAGGTTGACGATGAAGTAATAAGTGATTTGTCTTCTTCGTTGTTTATTGTTCCGCAAACTCCTGATTTGAAGGTTCAAACCTCCGCGCTAGATGCAGCAACGATACTTGCCTTGAAGTTAGTATGATTTCGTAATATCATATATTGTAAATTTATGATCACCTTTTTATTTATATCACGACAATACACGTAGTTTCCCGAAGACCACTTCAAATATGATCCAGATAATAAGAAAATTCTTGACAACGCCCTCAACGATTTTCGAATTAGCTGTATTGGTCGGCAACAATCTCTCAATTCAGGATTACGGGATTATACGATTAGCACATTGTCTTATGGTATGAAGCTTTTGTATCTGATGGGAGAATGCTTCTAAATTGAATTGCGTTTTATGAGCTCATCAAAATCTTTCCTTTAAATCTAAGGCCGTTAGTCCAGAGATGTCTCGCTCAGTTATTTATAATCTTCTCGCAACGTTTTCAACAGGTGGTCATGAGCGGACTCCAACTTCGCAAAAATTTCCCACTTCCCCTGGTGGTACAGTTAATTCACTTGTTCCTGATCAAATATCAATACATACTTCTATCAGCGCTATTTCTCGCAGTGAAGAATCAAGACAGCAAATGCTTGAAAATATTGTGTGTACGGTCGCAGGAGTTGCTTGTATTTTAAAAGACGACGAGGTTCGTTTTTAGTTTGACTGTTTTCGAATTATCAGATAAAGAGCTGAGCATGTTCATCCAATTATTCTAGATTACAGCTCTGTGTGTTTCCATGCTCGGTCCAAGACTTCGTAATCACACGCCAGCTTTGGACGTTGTTATTCTCGAGAAGTTTGTCGATCTTGCTTTGATTTCTTCAGAAAAAATTTTCTCAGAGATCGTACATAAGTTTTCCGATATTAGCCGTCAGTCGTTATCACCAGACAATAAAGTGGTTACTACCGCGGTAATAATCTGATTTTAATTTTTGTCAATCTCCTTTTTGATTGTCAAATTATTAATTGTTTGTTATGTGGGCGATAGGTTCTTAAGTGTCAACAGAATCTAGCCAACAGAATTCATTGTCGGCCTGAATTTTATGAGTTATATCTACTAAAGATCTTATCATTGTTTGTGGAGAAAGGTGTAGTCATTCAACAGACGGTGGCGAAAAACGGCAAGTTTCAGGTAACATAGCGATTATCATGTTATACCTATCGAAAAAATAATTTTCTCATTCCTTGTGTTATTTAGATCACCTCTCTTGTTGGAGAAATTGGAATTTTGCTTCCCGTTCTTAAGACGCTTTTATCTCACAAGGACTTTAAAGCATATTTAAATGCTTCGGAAGAGTTGGTTGGATTATTTCGAAATCTTTGGTTTCACTGTGTATTATACGGATTCGTGTCCGAGGAGGCATGGGTTCGCGAATGGCGGGATTCGTTGATAGTAATTGCTCAGAAAACTCCTCCCCTTGTTCAGGAGAGTGCGAGAAATTATTTAGAAGGTGATCTCGAGTTCAATTCGGTGTTGGTTCGGGGTAATTCCGATCAGGTTTAAATATCATGACAGATTGTTTCTTCTGCTTTACAATCGGAATGGAGATCTCTGATTGTAACTCGTATTCTTCTTGTTAACGTAAATGTAGGATCTCTCAAATGTTCGAACTTCTCTGTCCGCTTTCCTTCCAAATCGTGCGTACGAGATCAAATATTTTTCTTTTGCCGAGGTCACATTTTTACTCTCGGTGTATCACATTGAGATAATGAGAAGTCAAATGGGGCAATTTTCTTTTATTCAGAGATATTTTGTAAATGAGGGTGTGAATGCTAGTAAATTAGTCGGATGTATGGAGGAAATTGGGAATCAGGTAGTCTCTCTGTCTCATTTTAATTTCTTTACAATTTTTGCTTTGCAAGTTTCATTTTCTCATGTTTCTGCATTTTAATCTTAGGTGATTGAAGTTTTTATCAGAGAGTGCTCGAGCAGGATGATAGCTCATACCATTGACAACGATATTCGCACTCAAGTCCGCAATCTTATGATTGCCACCTGCCATCGTCTCAGTAAAGTTCATCAGCTCGCCATCAAACATCTTGATAGTCTGATGTCGGCTTTCCCTTTCTTGCTGTGTGATAAGAATCTCTTGTTTTTGTTATTGGAACTTATCGAATTAGTTTGGCAAAGTTGCGAGATGGAGTACGCGAATGAGGTATGCCTTTAGCTTACGTGATGTAGTAATATTTTTAGTTGACATATATTAAATAACATTATACATTTGACGATTCAAGTATTCTCCGGTGTATACATTCTCTTCTGTGAGAGTTGGGGTGACTCTTTATTTGACCGATTCCTATGACTATCGGCGAGAAATGTTAACGCACTTGTACGAGAATTCTAGGAAATGGCTTTCAATGGCCATAACACGTGTCCCGCATGAAATTCGTGGGCTACTAGAGGTATTCTATTTTCCATTCCGTATGTTTATTAGGTTCGGGTCAGATTTCAATTCTTTACATCTATTTTTGCCTTTCCTAGGGTTATCTTACAGAATTCGGACATTGTAATGAGGGTAGTGCTGTTCACATGGGACGTTCTGTTGCCCTGGAGGTCGCGAAATATTTTTCGCGATTTGATCCTAATACAGGTTTATATATTCATAATTATTCGCATGTAATTATTGTTAAATAAACATCATTATTTATGCATATATTGTACTTTAGTTATGCCTCCACGTATGTCACCAATAACGATAAATAATGTTTCGGAGTTTATATGTGATTATTCTGCAAGGCGTTATTATTGTGGACAAGTGTCTGGTACTCACCATCTTACAAATTCTGATGGTGAAGGTAAATGTTTAGCGAATAATATTCAAATTACAATTAAATCCGAATTTATTTTGAAACCCAAATCTTGTTTTCTTTCAGATTTCCCTTCGTTCAAAATGGATGACGGCATAATGGAGGAGCAAAAGCGTAACATGCGAACGACCTTAATAAACTTGGAGAGAAAAGTTCGCAAAGGCTATCACATTCCACATGAGGATTTGAATAGCATATTGCATTCAGCGGCCGGAATGTTGGTTTCAATGTCAAAAGTAAGGGAATTTACTGTATATATGGTGCAAATAATAGGTAATAGTCTTCTTATTTTATATTTTACATTTCTCCAGCCAGACGAAGATATCGTCCATTATATTGTTTGGATTCCGGTTTACTTGTTTACCCGTGAGTCCATTAAATTGGGTATTTCCATTTGGAATTGGATAATCAATGAAAAATTGATGCTAGAGATGCGAGTTATGACGGAGGTTGCGTCAGGATGGATTTGGACCTTGCGAAATCGCAAGGGATTATTCTCTTCATTACTTAAGTATGCTTATTCCCTTTTTTGTCCAAATGGTGCACCTTTCTCTTATTTAAGTGATAATTTTCGAGACTTATAGTTCTTGTTGCTCATTATTCATTACTCCGCGACACACAACTATTTGATATCAATAGTTCCAAAGATCCTTTTGTGAATAAGATGCAGTACGCGCCTTCAGATAAAGCTACTAGAGATCGGAATTATAAGTACGCCATCCATTCATTCAGTCCACACTTAATCTGGATAGAATGGTTATCTGGACGTTTTCAGGCTTTCAGATATCGATGCGCTGAATTGGTTCACCTTTATATGAGATTTTTCCAAATAACTCTTGATGAATGTCAGCATATATGGTGAGTTATGACGGTTACACGAATTCTTTTATTAATAGAGCTGTTACCATTTCATTATTATACCTGTTGCTTTTATTATTTTCCAATGCCTAAATAATTTTTGATGCCTTTCTATTAATTATAATTTATTATTAATACACCAAAATTGTTACTACTTCTCATATGTTATTAATACACCAAAATTGTTACTACTTCTCATATTTAACTTATGGTGTTACGGTTTCTAATTATTATATATATGTTTTCATAAATTAGCAATCATCCTTTATCACGGGAAGGTCGACTTCAGATAATAATATTGGGATTTAGAATATTGCAATCTGATCGAATGGAGGCGTCTATAGAAAGTAAATTTCGGACCCGGATATTTAAGGCCGCTTTCTCCTGGTTCTCCTTACCTCCCAGGTTAGTTACAACGGATGAAATTCGCTGATGTAAAAGGAAAACCTATTTTTTAAAAATTTTTTTACTGGTTTTTGTTTCAGATGGCCATACGGTGGCAACAAGAGGTTGCTGATTACAGAATATAAATTATTAATCGAAACTTACAAATTGGTGGAGAATGATAAGGTCGAGTTAAGTGAAGTTTTGCTCACGGCTCCCAAGAAATTTTCGACGGTACCTTCTACCTTCACGCTTCAAGGTAGATATTTGATAAGATCATAATTTATGGAAATCAATAATAAATAAATATATTTTTTTTTTGTTTTTCCAAGATCGAGAAGAGAATCTGGGTTTTACGGCTAAGTCAAAAAAACTACTTTTATTATTTTTGGAAAGCGAAATAAATAACCTGTCGACTTGGATTAATCCTCTGAACTCCCCCGAGATATTGAAAGAAACCTTTGTTCCTAGTGTTGAAAAAAATTTAAACGATGTAATTAGTTATGCGGTATAATTACCTGTCAATCACATTTTACGGATTCTCACGATTTTGTACACTTGTAGGATGGATGGAAAGCTATTATTCGTCATTCATGGTCGATATCTCCGAGTTTGTCCGTACAAATGGCTAGCAGGTTTAATCAGACGGTGGTTCAAAGCGAAGTGCATCGGATGATTGTCAATTATTCTGCGGAAGCTGTGGGTGAATCTGAAGCGTTGCCGTTATTGTTGGGGGATAAATTAAGTAGTGCCGTTATCCCTCAATTAAAGGTATTGTGTACTTCACACGTGCGTTTCTTTCTTGACCTCGTTATTTATTTTGGTTTATTTTTATTTTTATTTTTTTTAAAAAAAAATCACGATGTGTAGTATTTATTATATTGGGCACCAGTACCGCCGATAACAGCCGTCTCTTATTTCCTAACGAGCTACAGCAATCATCCCTTGGTCCTACAATATGCCATGAGATCTCTCGAATATCACCCGGTCGACGTGGTATTCTTTTATATACCTCAAATCGTTCAGGCTCTGAGACTAGACCATTTAGGTAGCTATTCGTCACATATTTGCTTATTTCTAAAATTAACATTTATGTCAAAATATTTCGCCATTTAGGTTATGTCGAACGTTTTATTATGAGTACCGCCAAAATATCGCAACTATTTGCGCATCAGATTATATGGAACATGAATGCTAATATGTATAAGGATGATGAATCTTTAATTGTATGTGAGATGTTGATATGGTTAAATCCTGATTATTTTGTTAAACCATTTTTTAATTGTTTATTTAGCCCGATTCGTTGAAGCCCGCATTGGAAAGGGTTATTGAAAATATTGTTGACTCCCTGTCAGGGAAAGACAAGGAGTTTTACGAAAGAGAATTTAGCTTTTTCAATGCAGTGACTTCAATATCCGGGAAATTAAAGCCTTATATTAAAAAGTCGAAGATGGAAAAGAAGGTCACTGCTTAGCATTACTTTTCTTGTTTAAACGACAAATGATACCATTCGTAATATTGAGTCGTTTCAAAATACTTGTCCATCCTCGTAGGCGAAGATCGATGAAGAAATGGCAAAGATTCAAGTGGACGTAGGGGTATATTTGCCAAGTAATCCGGAAGGAAAAGTTGTCGGTATAGACTACAAATCTGGGAGACCGTTACAAAGTCACGCAAAGGTTATTATTAATATTAAAAGTAAATAGTACGTCAATCTATTTTGCCTCGTACTTACATTATTAATTCTATTAGGCCCCTTTTATGGCGACATTCAGAATTCGAAAGGAAGCGAATGACTCTGAGGAAATTAAAGAAATAATTCAATCGGGGACGGTAAATGGGAAGGGCAGTGACCACGAAATAAAAACCGTGGATGTTTGGCAAGCGGCAATATTTAAAGTTGGAGATGATTGTCGACAAGATGTCTTGGCACTGCAGTTGATCGCGATTTTCAAGAATATTTTCACTAGTATAGGGCTTGATCTGTATCTATTTCCATATAGAGTTGTGGCAACGGCCCCTGGGGTGATTATATGAATCCTATTCCATTCCATCATAATTTATTATCGATTATTTAGTTTGGCATTGACTTTTTACAAATCCCTGTTGTCTTTGATAGTGTGGAGTGATTGATGTGATTCCAAACTCAATATCCCGTGACCAACTTGGCCGCGAGAAAGTTAACAGCCTATACGAGTACGTTTATTCTTCTGGGGATTTATTTATTTATTTATTTATTTTGGTTTATTAGTATAATTTACTATTTTTATCTTTAGCTATTTCCTTGCAAGATATGGGGGCGTTGATTCAATTGCTTTCCAAAAGGTGTGTTCTGATATGATATGATAATTTTTTGCTTTATCAAGGCTGATATCGTATATTATTAGGCACGGAATTGTTTCATCCAAAGTGTGGCTGCCTATTCGGTTGTGTCGTTTTTACTGCAAATTAAGGATAGACACAATGGCAACATCATGCTAGACGACGAAGGGCACATAATTCACATCGGTGAGTTGGTTGTTCGTTTTCGTTGTATACCATGTGAATCCTTAATAACTTTTATTTTCGCGAAGATTTCGGCTTTATTCTTGATATTGCGCCCGGTGGAATTACTTTTGAAAGTTCACCGTTCAAGCTCACGACTGAAATGATTCAGGTCATGGGTGGTAACGCCGATGTCCAACAATTCAAATGGTTCTCGGAACTGTGTATCAAGTCATACTTGGCTTCGAGGTATGTGCACCCAATCTTTATAACCATTTAATTTCGCTAATGGTTGAGATACGTTCTAACCAGTTTTCTTGAAATTGTTCTAGACCGTATGCTGAGGGCATCTGTCAAGTTGTAAGTCTAATGCTTGGATCTGGACTTCCATGCTTCAAAGGGGAAACCCTGAAGAGGCTGAGGGACCGGTTTCAGGTTGGCAAGACCGAACGCCGTGCCGCCGAATACATGATTGAGAAAATTAATCAGTCCTTTGAGAATAAGAGGACTGTGTGGTATGACAGTTTTCAAAAAGCTACAAACGGTAGGAACAATCTTCTGATTTCTTCTCGGACACTATTAAATTATTGGTTCTAACCGACAATCGTTTGATCTTTATTCCAGGTATTCCGCATTAAAATAATTTTTTGTACATATAAGATTAAGAATTTTTTTTTTCCTTTTTTTGGTTTACCCTTATACTCGAGGGACCTTTCTACTCACCCATGTTTTTGTCTTACTAAAATACTATTAAGATTATGCGGCATAATTTTTTTTTCTTTTGTTTTCTCGACTTTATAACTATTTCCTTTCTATTTGATTATATGTATTACTAAATAGACTTCAAAAAATTTTAAAAGTAACATTTATAAAACTAAAACTATTATAATATTTTATATAGAGGTTTTTGAATGAATATTTTATAATGTTCTCTAGCAAGCATAATTAAATATTATTTTACTGGGAATTTGGCCTAATGTGTCTACCATCATTACTTTCTCGCGTGTGATCAATTCTTGAGGATCGGAGTCCAGGTTCCCAATTTAATACGATAAAGTAGTAAAAATTGGGGAAATGCAAAATTCGGTTAACGTCATTCAATCATGGATCAATTTTCAACGCTTCGCTTAATGATCACGGCAAATATTTTTTTATTTTATATAAAAAATCTTTATTTTTCATTGTTTGGTACTTAAATATGTTTGCTATTTATCATTTCAACAATCGGACGAGCTATGTACTTTGAATTATCATATGTTTTAGCCAATTGGGAACTCTAAAGTGGATAATGTCCTCCCTTATTTCTTTAGCAGCATGGGCTTATGCTTCCGAAGACTCTCGGCGACCTGGGTAAAATGTTCGGTAAGCATTATTTCATCAATGGCTTTAACATATTGGCATTTTAAGGAATCTTTGTCATTATTTCTAGGAAGATATTCAGATGCAATGTCGACCATTTTTTGTAGCGACTGTCCATATTGGGCATGGCGCCCACTACGTCCTGTAAACATAATCGTATAAAGATAAAGGTGCGTTCTATTGATAAAATTTGGAAGTTTCAATTAACATATCCTGAAAACTCATCTTCACATACAAATGACTCTAGACATTACCCTCGATCCTTCTCTCTCTGACAGAGAGACCGTAATTCATTTTCTGGGGGGTGATATTCACCATCCGACAAGAAAATTACTACGTTTGTTCTGTTCAAAACAATTCATAAATAAATTATCGCATGCAAATAAACATCTATCGCTAACAAATTGGAACTTACCTCAAAGGATCGTAATATGTTTGAATTACTTCTGATGCTTTTTTTATTCCTTCATGATAATAGTTATCACCCTTTGGATGATACCCCAGCATTATTTGCAAAAGCTCATCGGAATTCGACAAGTTCCTATTTTCGAACGCAACTACTGCAGTGTAGTCAAAGAGAATAAGTGATGTAGTATCACGGTCCACCGACATTTGACCAGCACGTGTCGCTTTTCTCGAGTTCCTTCGAGTTTCCATGAAAGTGTAAATCGCTTCATATACTGCACCCAATCGATTGTTGTGGGATTTTTGTATACAAGATGTCTTGAAATTATTCCCGTGAGGACTACAATCGGAAGAACTCATTGAGCCACTTCGATCCACAACAAATACAATATGAAAGTCGCCAACATTTGTTGTGGGATTCTCACAAGAAAACTGAGATTCAAAAATAATGTTAGAATGTGCCAAATGCAGAGGCATACTGCATACGACTCGATTTACCTGATGGCCGTCGGTTGAAATATAACCTATTCCGGTTGAGGGTTTGGAGGTATGATCCAAGGTGGGATGAAAAATTTCTTGTGTGCAATACGATTTCGTTGGTTCCTTTCCAGAGAACTCGTCAATCTTATGATGCTTTTCGTCGGCACATTCGTGATCACATTTCTTGAATTCCTCACGGTCGTCCTTAGAGTAGGGATCTGTAAATTAGCATTATTATTATTGTGACATGGATTTAAACAATATATAGTATATATTTGATAAATACGGCACCTTGAAATTTGGTTCGTTCCCAAAAGACACGATGAGAAATGTAATCCTTTTTCCTTAGCGGGAAAGGGCTAATATTTGCTGTTTTTATATAATTAATTAATCATTGCGCGCAAACAATTCAGCGTCATAAAATCAAGTAGTACCGTTGATGTGTTCTAATACTCCTTCCTTTTTGCCTCCACCTGGACCTTCACAGACAGTTGGATCTCTACAGTAATCTATGTGGCGATGACGGCCAATATTTTCACACAACTAAGAAAGATATAAGTTAATATTTTGGCTTACGAGATTTATGAAGTGAACCAATGGTGTGACATACTTTATGGCATAAAACGAAATCTCCTCTATCGCCAACAGTTAAACGATGGCCTATTAAAGAAATGCTGTCATTAATCAATCGTGTCCGAATATTAACACGAATCGTAAAACTAGAAACCTTCAAATTCAAATTCTTCATCTTCGCATGTGAATGTTGTTAAATACATGTTTCCGTGGGCAGTCGCTAAAAAAATAAAACGTGCTTTAAAATTTTTTGCAAAATATTAGAAATCTAAACAGCATATCTTATTACAGTGTTCGGTATTATATTTTTTTCCATGACCATAAGGCAAGGTACACTAATAAGCAATCAATAATAATGAAATTGCCACTATTTAAAAAAAGAAGGAAATTCGTAAGTCTATAGGATGAACTTACATAATATGCGCAATTTGGGCATTTTTCATCGCAGTAATGGAAATTTTGTTTGCTTTCTTCATCTTTAATGTGTTTCCCCTTATCATTTGGACATGATGAATCACACGAATGAGGTTTCTTTATTTCGTGAACATGTTTTCCTTTATGTTCAAACATATACGGCGGAATCTTCACGCAACACGGTAATCTTTGAAAAGTTTGTGAATACTGAAATAATAGTAAAGTATTGAGAAAATTGATTCACACCTAGTCATAAAATTCATATACAGTAAATCTCACCTTTGTGAACATGAAACTTCCAAACCTATAAGTAAAGAGATCAAGTTATGTCAGACGCGTAATGTGACTCCGTCATAATTTTCTAGATTTGCTTACTTGCTCACGTATTCGGCTTCTTCTTTGACAATGGCAGTCGGTTCAGTCACGATCTTACATATCCCGTTTTCCTCGCATTCTTTGGGGCATTGATGCTCATTCCTAAAAGAAAGTGAATTAGACTTCGATTATTATTCAAGATCAATACTAGGATAGTAAGGAAGCACCACAACTGACCCACAAAAATGAATCATATCTTTCTTCAGAGCATGAAAGTGATCATTGCTTTCACAACGTTCTCTGCAATTCGCTATTGGGCATTCTATTGGACACACCTCGTTCTCGCATCTGTGGATTGAATGATTTTCTTCGCATGGAAGCTAATGTCGAACAAAAGGCATGTACCACGTAGAACCGTAGGATTTATTAACAGGTTGAAGGAAAAAAAAAAGAAATTGCGTAATATATAAATATTGATCTTACGATGCACGTATTTCGGCATTCGTACTTTCCCTTATGTGTTTCGGCCTTCAATGAACATGAAGCACCACAGAAATGCCTCGCGGATTCACACAAATGAACCTTATTTCCTTCAACATCTTGATGTCCGACATCCTTTGCGCATACATTTTGACAATTTCTTTTTCCGAAATAAACGCAAGGTGCACCGCATGCGTGCGAAATGGAACATCGATGTTTCCCTTGGTGACCCGCAAAGTTCACGCAATCGGGAATGATACCGTCCTTATGAACTTCCTCGAACTCACACCGGTGAGGACATTTGTGATTAGTCATGCAATCATGATTAGCATCATCATGACGGCTGGCCTTTAAACACGACAATCCACATTTGTCACAACGAAGACGACAAATATTCCAGAATAAATTAAGGCGGCTAATCTCTTGATCGAGAGCACAATTTATAGTATAGACTTCATTGTGATCTTTAGGAAATCGTGAAGTGTTCTTTGTGAACCATTCTTGTAATCTCCTTGTTCGACGATTTATGATTAACTTGAAAAAATTATCCAGGTGAACTATCCATTCAGAGTCAGGAACGGAACCACGGGGGTAAACGTGTTTTTCAAAATATTCTCTTAAGTCTGATTGATTGAGTGATTGCGAAAAAATATGTGAATAACGGAAATTGTGGATGCCCCGGGAATTAGAGAAACTGTGCACATACCAGATGAAATTTCAATAAAGTCACCTTTATCTTTAAGCAATACGAGACCAGTGTCAGGCATTAATTTAACTGATTTTTCGACGTGCGCAAATGTGTCGGAAAGTAGCACATCATGATCGGGGATTGGGATACCGTCGTCTCGACCCTGAGAGGGAGCAATATTTATTTAGCGCTAAAGAGTTTTGACGATTAAGGACAATATTGCATAAAAAAAAAAAAAAATGACGAAACCATACCATGAGGCATTTGATAGTTTGATCTGATGATGGATCTTCTCGAGAGACTTCTGAATCTAAAAACGGATCATCATCTTTTTGTTCGTAACCAAAAGATATCGCATCTTTGAGGAGTTTTCTTAATTCTAGGGTTCTCATGGTAATTAACGTTTCCTGAATACTTCCCCAATCGCATACCCTTTCAAATATATGATTACATGATGAATAATCATTTGCCAACAGTACAGTATTCAATTATTTTGCTCACTGCGTATATAATACTCACTTTAGCTTCGTCATCAGCACCTGTTTTGAAATATCAAATTTAACGAATAAAAAATGACGCAGACTATTATTATATCAATATATTTTATTTTACCTTGATTTTTTCCACAAACATTCGAGCGTTTTCATACTGAGACTCTTGCTCATCCAGTTTAATCTTAAATTGTTTAATGGATGTGTAAAATGATGATTCTGTGAACACTGGCCAAGGAAATATTGTCATCTTGTTGCGATAAAGCTTTGTAATAAAGTTATCTTCTTCCTCCTACGAATTTAATGCAAAAGTCATTGTCTGCGATAATTGACGCTGTGCATGAAAAGAAGAATTTAAGTTTTACTTTGTCAACAATTTTTGCAAACTTTGAATGAAATTCTTCCACGATATCATTCCTGTCACACTTTGCGACGTCCTTAATAACAATGCAAAAGCGTGCCTTTGCAAACGAATAAATCAGGAAATAATAAGTTTATGCGAGGCGCGGTGTGCCGTATTTATACAATTTGCGACATACGTATACAGTACGCGTACCTGAAAAATGTCAGGATCATCTCCGAAATAATTCGTTCCATCTTGAAAACGTTGAAACATGGAAGAAATGTCTCGACTAACTGCAAACTGGCTCTTGAAAATCACGAGGTTTGAAAGTGCCGCATTTAAAAGTTGCAAAAACGTTTCCTCCTGCGGTGATCTCTCGATACTCGCCAATCCTAGTGCGCTTCATGCGTTAAGTCATTTCCATAATACGTATGTAGATTTCACATACGATTCAAGAGTCTTACCTTCGAAATCGAGCGCAACATAGAGTATATCGTTTGCTTTAACTTTTTTTTTAGGCAGATGATGAATTCAAATTTCGCTAATGAGGAATGCAGCATCGGAAAATTCAACGTACATTATAAAATTGTAAATGCGCATACCTAATGACATCCACACACCTTCCGTGCAACGCTAAAATGTGAAACAAAACATTAGCAAGAGAATTAGATAGCACATTTTTATACCGGCTCTTTTTTGAATACAATAAACCAACCATTGCAGATCCATCAAAGGTCGAACCTATACAATGATTTAATAGATAGCTCTTGCCTTTAATTTGAGAACATGTGAAGATTATCATTAGGTCAGAAATTTACTCCGAATCTCCACATGATGTCTACGTAAGGAACATACCGCAAGATTGTTCCCCCATGGAAGAAATGACCTTCACTTTAAGGCTAGAGAAATATTCGAATATGGACTCATACCACCCAAATGAAATAGATTTCGTTACGCTTCCAATGAGCCCAAAGCCATCGTCTAATGCTGATCGTTCAACCTCCGGAGAATATACACCATCCCGAAGTGGAATGAACTCATTATCTCTTGTGATGGCGATTTGCAAAGGGATCAGGCAGAATAACTCGATAATCCAGCTTTAATTAACCATTAGTAATTGTAGAATGATAGGTTAAAACGACCTTAAGCCAACCGTTTCTTCTTTCTTTGTTTTTTTTTTAATTCACCCCCCTTCTTTTTACTTACTCGCCAAATTGATACTCCGTGTATTCGTTTTCCAATTCGGTAATGGATTCTATAGTAGCACAGTGGATGCGAAAATTTTTAAGATGACCGAGAGGTTTCTTAGTATCCTTCTTGAACTTTTCAAATAATTTCTCGATGTATCGTTGAAACTTGACTTCATATTTATTTATGCCCGATCTGTTAACCGAGGCAAGTTCCATTACGACCGTTAATGTTAGAGGATCGTCCATTCGGCCAATTGGACTTGATATCGCATATTTTGTGAATACCATGGAATATGCGTCGAGCAACCCATTGACTTTTGTTTTTGGTTCGATTGCGAAATCTTGCCATTTTCCATAATTCAAAGACTTGGCCAACGGCTTGGTAATCCTCAGTCTGCTATCGGAAATAATTTCAGAAACTTGGTGTTTTTCATTTCCCACAATCAACGAATCGCCGACGTGAACATCTTTGCTAAATTTCGTATTCTGTCCAAGGACTGTGAATAAATCGCGAGCTTCGATCTTCATCCTTCCCAAAGTTTTTTCTACGGATTGCCTTTCAAATCGATATTTCGTCTTTGCATGAGTGATCTTGATAATCGCCGATTGAAAAGAACCATTATGTTGGTCAATCGTTGTCAAATGAATTTGTCGCATTTCGAATGAGGAGAATTGAAATAGTTCGATGGATGGATTTTCGAATGGGATTTCGATTATTTTACTCGCATCTTGGCTGAATTTCTCGGAGAAAAACACGTATCCGTGAACGACCTCTGTATTAGAGTCTTGCTGTTGATCCGGCTTAGCCGCACTATCGGATTCCTCCGTTTCCATTATTTCATCTTCATCATTGCTTGATGACTCTTCCGAACTGTCGGGGTTATCCTCTGTCGGCGTTATTTCGGAGTCTCCATCGGAATTTTTATTAGGTTCTCTTGAGTCTTTGACATCCTTTCTCTCTTTTACGAATGCCACAAAGCAAGTACCGTCCGGTGTGCTCATTATCCGACTAGTATTAATAGGTATCTGAGCTATTCCGGGTTTGAAACTATCGTTTATGAAGTTATAGACACGCGCGCGACCATTTCTTTCTACGAAACAGATGTCTTCGGTGTTCTTGATGAAGAAGAAGTGGGCGATTTCCGGAATATCGTTATTATACCACTGCTGAAGCAGGATATTTCGATGTTGAAGGTGAAGGTTGGTACGCTCTTCGTCAAAACTGTACGCATTAAGCTTGCGTGGTGAATGTAAAGCATAAGAGTCACTAAACTATTGTAGACGATCCTCGAGAATTAAAATATTTACTTACCGCCCCTCGGATGTTGTCGTAAATTGCAATCAAACCTTTAGGCTCATTAACAGCCACCATGAAGTTTTCACTGGGATTGAGCTTTTTCAATGTGATCTGTTCTTTCAAAACTTTTTGCAGGCGCGTAATGATATCAAAATAGATTTCCAATTTTCTAGTCGTCTTATTCCAAAGAAGAAGGAGGAATTTTCGGTCGAACTGTGCGACATATCTGCCACGAAGAGGTATTTTCAATAAGCCAAAGCCAATGCCACCAGGAGGCACAACAGACGAATTATAAAAAAAAAAAAAAAATTACTTGAAATCATATGTCTCTGGGTCAATTTCAACGGAAACACCGGGGTTTCTATCATACGAATTTATCATAGGTTGTGGTACAAAGAGCTCATTCTTATTCATTTCAAGCGCATCTGCTTGGCTGAGTTGTGTGCTGAATATGGTAAGGCATAATTGTTCTGGGCGAGGGATTTCAATTTCACGGAATAGTCGAAATGAAATTGGTTTATAAACGTTATATCTATGCTCTAATGTTTAAAATATGCGAGGTTCAGATTTTACCCTACACTTACAATAAATACATGTTTATGTGGGAAAGAGACATACAGTACCTGTGCGTTCTACATCTAAAATAGTCAAAAGGTCACCCGTCAAATATATCGATTCAAGCTGACCACATATCTCGTTAATATGTTTCCTTTCAATGTTTCGAACTTCTCTCTCATATTCAATGTCATTAGACTTATCTCGACTTTTCACAGCTTCTTGTTCAATGCTTTGAATGATCTGCCTTTCTTTATAAACGAAAGTAAACTTTTTCCAATGCTCATATTTTTCCAAAAACTTGGCCACGATAGATTCGTCTTCGAGTTCGAAAAGTTGGTATAAAAATTCGTTATCGGGAGTCTTTCTGGCTTCTTCCTTAACACTATTTATTATGTCTTTTGCAGTTTCATTTCTTTTCCAAATGTAATCCATTAAACCACGATTTTCCTCCTCCAATGTGTATTTTTTTACCAAATTATTGAAGTTTCTCTCTTCATCAAAGAATACATCGTGTACCAAGTTTTTCTCTGTATCAAGATTAACACCGCGTTTAGCAAAGAGGAACCTAATTTTACTATCATACCAAGAAGAGTTGTCCGAAGAAATGTTATTGATCAAATTTTTGAATTTTGACTCAATGCCATAATATCTCCTCTCTATGCGATCGATTTCTAGAATTGAAATTTATTACTGTCACAAGATCATCTACGAAACAAATGAATATATTTTGCTTACCTTCATATTCAAGAGGTGCATGTTTATTCAATTGCGTGTCCTCGAAATTACTGTAATTATTTAATATCAGATGAATACGTATTGTATAGGAAAATATCGACAGTGTCATACTGTACCTATAAGCTTTTTTTAAAAGATGTTGCACATATCTTTCTATTAACTTCATGTCCGCCTGAACCTCATTTCTTACTTTTTGTTTATTTTCAGTTTTAATCTTATTAAGAGATTGCAATTCCGCTTCATAAGGCTCAAAAAGTTTCGGAAGCTTCATGATGTCCTTAACGATAATTTTTAGTTTATCAAGGGTCATACGAAAGCGGTCAAATTTAAGGGCGCACTTCTGAATTTCAAGCTTTTGTCGAAAGTATTCCTGCAATTTGCCAATGGACTCAAATGATTGATGGTTTCGTTCAATATTCTTTGTGGCTGGGACCATTTCCCGGGTAAGAAAAGTTTGATTTGACACGGATTCAACAATCAATGGATTCAACGTATGGTCGTCGTCAGGATGCACCAATCTCGAAAATGGTAGCTTTGCATTGTTGGATGGATTTACTATAAATGTCAATGGATGTCTTTCTTTTGTTTTATACACGAGTATAGCTTACGTCAAATCCCGGAAAGAGTTCAAAATTTTCCTTTTGCTCTTGACTCTTCTTAACTTCAAAGTTATAAACAATACTATCATCAGTGGAATCATCGGATCCATCTTCGTCGTGAACTTCTGCATCTTTTCCAAATATTTGCCAGTCGAAATCTTCCAAGTCACTTTCTGTCATTCAATAATGATCATACAGAAGCATGAGCATTCACGAATTGCATGAAGAATCTATCTGCGTATAACCTACCATCCATGAGACATATTTGATGATTTGTAATTTTAGTCAAGTATCTAACAGTTCGGCAATTCCCTGGGTTAGTTTTAGCTTATTTAGCATTGTTGTACTTTTTTCAAACGAGCGTGAAAGCAAACCTGTGCAAGTTGATCATATTTTTCTTTAGGTAAGACGATGCGGAGTCCTTGTAACAGCCTTCTTCACTCCAATGTATAACCATGAACTTTGAATGTTCGTCATCCATTTTCTGAAGATATATACCGGGCCTTAAGATGGGAACCGGACGTTTTCCGTTAACCGCGCTCGAACCATGAGGAATCAAAAGCGATTCATATCTAAATTTAAGATATCGGGTGTCAAAGACAGTTATCCAACAATAGAAAGAGTCTAACAAATTGTACTCACATGGATTGATCGATGAAACCTTTCTTCAATAAAAGTTTGGCGATGAGTGCATTTCTTCCGTAACAACCAATAAGATAGATTCGGCGAGTATTTAATTGTTCGAAGCGAATTTTCGAAATCGATCTGTAGCTGTTTAAGACTATTTCATTGCATAGCTTCTTTATGTGTTCCTTTGAAATAATGATCTTGTCGACTGTATGATGCATGTACACGATTAGATCAATAGTCAAGCAACACCACCTTCAGCATGTATCAAATCAATCTTTATCAGTACCTAAACCATTTGTGCCTTCATCTTTACACAAATCCAGTAGCCGGTAAAGACCTGGAATTGATTCACACAGGTCGCACTTAATATTTTCTTGATTGTCAACAGATTCATGATCTGTGTCCATATATTCGTCATCTATCATGAAACCACTTTTCATAATTAGCACGTGGTCACATATAGGTTGGGCGAAGGAGATTCTAAAACAAAATGTACTTACCGTTAGGCACTTCATCGCCTTCACATCCATCTGACGAAAGGATAGGATTGGTTTCTTGACAATTAAGAGCAGGAAGCGATGAATCTTATTAACGGTATGCAAATTTTAATATCTATATATGACTTTCCTTGCATTTTCACAATTATGAAAATGCATACTGACTTCCTTACCTTGTTCTTTTTCCATGTGAGAATATACAACAATTGTGGACTTTAAACTGAAACAGCATAACGAGTTCTTTTTATATGCGACGGAGGAGACTAGTTCACGTCCGTGTATTACAACTATTATCTGCATCTCTTTCACGAATGCATAATTATTGGTATTTATCTACATGTTTATTCCTAAAGTATTTCGATTCCTGTTGTAAACTCCGTTATCAGTCATGACGTACAGTATATGCGCCTAGCATTTTCTATTATAGGAATGAGATGTTTTGCTTTGCCATTGTAGCCTTTAAGGGCTATATTGATATGAAACCTAAAATTATTACAGATATAGATTTATTAGTTATTATTATAGACATACAAACTTTTACAGTATATTTGTAATTCAGATGGTTAACTATAGACAAAAAGATGGATTTCGCGAAATGTTGAAAATTGATTTTTTTTAGAAATATAAAAAATTAAATAAATATTTCGTTAAAAATTTTTTTGGATCTATGGAACTTTATTTTTAAATTTTGAAATTATAAATGCGCAAATGCGTAAATTTTCTAAATTTAACGTTTATTATTTATTTTATAAAATATAGCTAACATTGTAAAATATGAGTGTAAAAAAAAAAAAAATTTTTTTTTTTAGTTTTTATTTTTAAATAACCAAGATTGTTAAATAAATTTTTAATAACTCATAATCTAGTCATGCTTCGGATAATATAGGTATGATAAAGATTTTAATATTATAATTACAAAAAAAAATTGTAAATTAATGAAACAAATAAAAAATAAATCCAAAATTATTATTTTGGTATATTTTATTTTTTAAATGGCTCAACCGTTTTACAAATATAACATATTCCAATCAAAAACAATAATAAATAAAGATAGTTTGTAAAGAACTTTATAAATGATCTATTATTACCAATTGTGAAGCCCTTTTTCTCAAAGAGGTAGCAATCATTGAGATTTAAGAAAAAGGAGAAAAAGAGAAAGAAACAAAAAATGAAGTGAAAGCATGGAGTTCTGCAATTATTCTATATAATTTTGTAATTGTGCTTAAAAATAAATATAAAAGGAAAATAATATAAAAAAATTATAAAAAAATTCTTTTTTGTTTTACTATAAAATAATAAAATCTTTTTAGAGATCCTTTTTTTTGATAATTTTGAAAAAAAAAAAGAAAGTAGTTACAATTTAACAAGAGCAGAACAAAATTATATAGAAATTGAACTTGGATATTTAGCTATTGTATGGGCAATAAAAAACTTTCATCAATACTTAAGAACAAATCACTTCCATCTGATCACTAACCATTCTACTTTACAATGGTTAAAGATAACTGAATCAAAAAAAAGAAGAACAAGATGAATTCTTTGCCTGAAACCTTACAATTCCTTTGTCATACACAAAGCTGAAAAAAATCATAACAATGCAAATTCTATATCTTAAATGTAAGAGGATTAAATTTCTATTCTTATACTAAATCAAGATACTTATCTATCACATATAAAACTTATATGTGAAGAGAATAAAGCTTTGAGACAAAAATATTTTATAAGAAATCAAGAATGCCAAACTGAAGATTACTAGTTTGTTGTTAGACAATAATATTATATTTGAGATGAAAGGATATTAAATTATCATACATATACTATTTGCAAACAATGTCAAAAAGTTTCTAATAGAAATAGGTAACTATTTAAAGATGACTATACCTGTAAGGAAAAACAAAAAGAGATGACAAAAACTCTTTCTAAATATATAGAAATCTCAAAATAAAATAAAATAATCTTTGAAGTTAATCACATAACTGAAACCTTATTACAATTGATTAATACATATTGATAACTCCTTAAGAATAAACATTGTTTGAAGAATATTTACAAAAATTTAATAATTTTTTCCCATAATACTTATGCAATTCTATCTAATAGACAAGTACCAATCTTGAAACTCAATATTTAACTATTCAATAGTATCTGTACACAAATTTGACACTAAAAAAAATACAGTCCATATAGTCGGTGTCTTAGTAAACAAGTAGCAAAATGGGTACTTATACTATTATTACTTCAAAAACTATTTGCAAAACAACAAATTTCTATCAAATCTTAATAAAATATGATAATAGCAATTACAATCCAAAAGTAAATTTTTTGAAGTTAAAAACAACATTCTTTATAAGAAAAACAAAAAAAAAATATGAAATCAACTTCTCAAAGTGTTGCAAAAACATAAAATAGAATCAGTACTATATTTATTGTATAACTATTCTACTAATATATATCTAGATATTAATAAAGTATTTGAAAAATTCAAAGTTAATACTTTTGATCATAAATATTTGGAGAAATAAAAGACTATATTAAATTATATAATAAATATAAAACAAGTGATAAAATTTATATATCAAACTCTTATTTGTAGATATATATGTTCAAAAAAATACTTTTAGATTGCAAAACTTATTTTAAAAATAAAATAATTAATAATTTATTAAAAAAATTCAAAATATAATATTTACTATCTATTTTATATTATTCCCAAACTAATGAATTAGTAAAATCATTTAACAGAACTTTATATGAAGTATTAGCTAAACTAATAAAAAAAAAAAGAAAATTGAGATAACTATATTATATTAATATTATTTACATATAGAACAGACAAACAATTCTCTATGAAAATGATCTCTTTTTATTTGATATATGGATAAAACCCTTAAGTTTCTTTTATAGAAATAAATAAAGTAATAAAAAGATATCCTATTATAAACGTTTACTCTGAAAAAAAAACTATTCTAATTAAAAGAAGCTATCAAGCAAAATATATATAGAAGCCAAAGAAAACAGAAATAGTATTATAATAAAAAAAAAACCTAATCCCAATATTCAAAATAAGTGATAAAATATTGATAACTCCTTAAGAATAAACATTGTTTGAAGAATATTTACAAAAAATTTAATAATTTTTTCCCATAATACTTATGCAATTC